TTCAATAATTTCCACATGCTGTAGGATCACCTTTTTTTGGAATGTAAAGAAATACAAATCTCTTCCAGTCAGTTGGACAGGTAGTTGTCCTCCAGATTTCTCGGCACAACCTGGTAACAATGTCCAGGCAGCTTTTATTTGTTGAAAAATGGCAGTTGCTATTCCATCAATTCCTGGGGCCTTGTTTTTCTGCCAGTTCCTTCAGAGAAATCGGAACTTCCACATTCATCACCATTGCCTCTTGATCTTATGTTTCTTGAAAGTCTTCTGTGTCAGCCAATTCTTTTTGGTATAATGACTCTTTCTACTCCTTCTCTCTTCTTTTAATGCTTCCTGGATCATTCAATATTCTTCCCATAGCATAATTCAAGGCTTGAAATTGTTATTTAGTTTCTTCAGCTTACAAAAATGCTAAGCAAGTTCAGCCCTTTTGATTTTTCAACTCTTTGCACATTTCATTATAATTCTTTGCTTTGGCTTCCTGTGCTACCCTTTGAAATCTTCTGTTCAACTCCTTAACTTCCTTCTTTCATCCCTTTTCTTGGCTTCTCGGTGCTCTAGTGCTATATATATTAAGAGTATTTTCTGACATCTATCTCAGTCTTTTCTGTCTCTTCTGTCTTTGAAATGACCTTTTGCATTCTTTATGAATTATTTTCTTGATATCCTCCCACAGCTCAATCTGGTCTTTGCTCATTAGTGTTTGAGGCCTTAACTCTCTTCCTGAGGTGGTTTTTAAATTCAGTGGGATAGACTCAAGGTAAAATTTTGTTTTCTGTGGATTTGATGTAACCCTCTTTAGCTTTAATTTGAACTTGCATTGTAGTAAACCATACTGCAGACATTGTATGCAAGTAGCCATTTTATGCCAGGTTCAAATGTGCAGATGTTTGAAGGGGAGCAAAAACAAGATTAACCGTTCCTTGTACCCCAAGGCCAAGCAGGGATGTGGAGAGTAGTATGTCCCTCCCTAAAGACTCTGTTCGGATGGCTTTGTCTGCTGCTGATAAAAAAAAAAGCAAGCAACCTTGCAGGTGGTGGGATATCAGAACAAATGTATTGTCGGCCTTGAAGCTGAATTGTTTTTCTGTTCACTGCAAAAAGAATATAAGACAGGAGTTCAGTAATAAACTTTGCTATCTGCCATCAGCTGGTAGCCTCTCTGTGTGTTCTTTAATCCACGTCTTTCCCTCTGCGTATCCAGGTCAATATAACAAGGCTGGACCCTGTTATTGCATATAAGTAATTGATGGTCTGTTCCACAATCAGCACCTAGCCTAGTTTTCACTGCCGATATTGAGCTTCTCCAACAAATTTTTTTCCACAGATGTAATTGATCTGATTCCTGTGCAGATCATTAGGTGAGGTCCATGTATATTTTCCCTATTTATGATTCTTATAAAAGTTATTTTCAATGAATAAATCATTAATTGTACATAATTCTATCATTTTGTCTCCAGCTTCATTTCAGTCACCAAGTCCCTGTTTTCCAACTACTGATCCTTCTTCCCTGTTCCCAACTTTTGCATTGCAGTCACTCATTATTATTAATGTATCTTGGTTGAATGTTCAATTGATTTCTGACTGCAAAAGTTGGTAGAATACATTTCTCTTTTTCTTTTTTGGCTTTGTTTGTTGGCACATATATTTGAATCATAGTCCTATTCATTGAACATTCTTGTAGGCATATGGATATATTCCTGTCACTCACAACATTGTATTTCAAGAAAAACTGGATGAATTATGTTTACTGCATTGAAGTCTATCGGGGAGAGAATAGTTTAAAAGTATTCTATTTTAGGGCATTATGTTTATTGTATGAGTACAGAATGAGGGTTGCAGAGTGGATTATATTTGGGTTTGGGGGTGGGGTTGGGGGATGTGCGGGGGGGATTGTGTACCAATGAGGGAGTTTTTCTTTTGCTTTTTTGGGGAGAGGAGCAAATGGGGGGGGAGCGGGGGTGGGCAGGGAGAAGGGTGCAACAATGAATGAATGGAATTCCAAAATCTCTGTAGATGTTCATTGAGATGAAAAATAAATAAATTAATTAATTTAAAAAATAGGGTAAATAAATTTGCCTTTGAATTGATTCTAACTAATAAAAAATAAGATGGATCTAGAAGTATATTGTTGTTGTTGTTGTTAAGTACCATCAAGTCATAGGCGACTCCTAGTGACCCTATGAACGAAAGACCTGGACACCTGTATAACTTTCGTCCTTTCTCCAGGTTCATAGGGTTTCAGAGGCAAGCTATTATGGAAGTGGATGCCACTCCTGCTTCCAAGCTTGTTTTAATCGGGGAGTTCCATCAGACACTGTCCACCATGGGTAACCATTCTCTCATTTGACTCATCAGTGTCACAGTGTTTGGCTTCACAGCAGCCATGAGTTAACCTCTGTACAGCAAGTACACAACCTAGAAGAATGTTTGACCAAAAACAATTAAAGGCAGGCCTGAGGGCTGCGGAATGGAGTTACCTACCTTTGGCTTGGGAGCATGACTTTCTGTCCGCTAGGCCAACTGATAACTGATCTCTTTCCACTGATAGAAAACTCTATCCCAGTCCTGAATGGTCTCTACTTATGAACCTGAAGCTGTGAAGAGTTTCTGCCCATATGTGGAAGTGAATCCTTGATGGCATAGGTTAATATGCTTATTGCCTTTTCTGCTGGTCACTCTTATCTGCCACATTATGTATGTAGGGGCAGAGAGAGAGACAGAAGGGGTGGGGAGTCGGGTGGGGGAGGGTGGAGAATAGTAAGGTGCTTCTCATTAAGCACTGCTAAAGGGTCCCAATCCCTTTCTGAGTTGCATCTTCAACTCTATTGCCATCAAGATGAAAGCAACTCATAGCTGACTCTCCAGTCAGTTTTCAGAGGCTGTAAATCACAGAGGAGGAAATTACCTATCTTTTGCCCAAAGTGTAACTGGTGGATTCAAACCAGTTGCCTTTGAGTTGGCAGCACAACTTCCTAACCACTAGGCCACCAAAGCCCCCTTGTTGTTGTTTCTAGGTGCCATCAAATCAACTAGAACTCACGGTGTGACTCTGTAAACAAAAGATCTGAACCCTGCCCTATCCTGTGCCATCCTCGTCATTTCTACCACATTTATGTCAATTTCTACAGTCATTATGTGAGTCTATCTAGTTGAGGGTCTGCCTCTCCTTTCCTAACCCTCCACTTTTGTGAGTATGATGTTCTTTTCCAAGAACTCTCTCCTCCTAACAACATACTTGAAACGTGTGAGACAAAATCTCACCATCTTTCCCTCTAAGGAGCACCCTGGCTACACCCTCTCCAAGACATGTTTGTTCTTTTGAAAGTCCATGAGTTATTTGAGACTCTTCTCCAGCACAACTTAGAGGTATATATTCTTCTTCTCTCATCTTCATTCATTGTCCAACTCTTAGATGCATAGTAGGTACTTGAATAGACCATGGCATGCCTTAGTCTTTAAACTGACATCTTTGCTCGTCAACACTTTAGAGAGGTCCCTGAATGTAGACTTTCCCAGTGCAGCATGTCTTCTGATTTCCTGACTGCAGGTACCAAGGTTATTGATTGTGGCTCCAAGAAAGATGAAAGCATTGACAATTTCTGTCTTTTTGCCATCTATCATGATGTTGTATATCGGCCCACTGGTGAGAATTTTTGTCTTCTTGGTGCTGAGATGTAATCTATACTGAAGGCTGTAGTCTTTGATCTTCTGCAGCAGGTGTTTCAGGTCATCTTCACTTTCAGCAAGCAAGGTTGAGTCATCTGCATAATACAAGTTGTTGATGTCTCCAATCATGGTACAACATTCCAGGCTCTTGAATGATTAGCTCAGCATAGAGACTGGACAGTTAAGGAGAAAGGATATAACCCTGACACACCATTCTTGAGTTTTAAACTATTTAATGTTCCCTTGCTCTGTTTGGACAACAGCTTCTTGTCTAGGTATAGATTAGGTATAGATTTTACATGGACACAATTAAGTGTTCTGGGATGCCCATGCTTCTCAGTGTTAGCCACAATTTGTTATGATCCACACAGTTAAATGCCTTTGCATAGTTGATAAAACAATGATAGACCTCCTTCTGGTATTCTCTGCTTTCAGCCAAAATCCACCTGACAATTGTGATGATATCCCTGGTGCCATAGCCTCTTCTAAATCCAGCCTCTCTCGCATTTCTTTTTGGTATAATTTTAGTAATTTTTAAATAATCTTCAGCAAGATTTTAATTGCAAAGTTAAATTGACCACACCTGACAGACATCTTTTATCTCTCCAATGGAGCTCATCAGATGGGGATGTGGGGCTGTCCCTTGCTAAAGAAATCAGTAGTATTTGATATGTTTTTGTTAGAGCCTATATCATAAGAAGACTGAACAATCTAATGCGTCACTTTCCAGTACAGTAGGCATGTCACATGAAAATTTAATTAAATAAAATTTAAAAAATTTGGTTTCTTAGTTGCGTTAGCCACATTTCAAATGCTGTCATCAAGTTGATTCCAACTCATAGCCTATCCTGTAGCCTCATCATTCTCCCACAGAGTGACTAGTGGATTTGAACCACCAGCCTTTTTGTTAGCAACTTAAATAGTAATCCACTACCAAAACGACAAACTAATATGTCTTGGAGGAAGTGCAACCAAAGTGCTCCTTCAAGGCCAGAATGGTCAAACTTTGTCTAATGTACTTTGGCTGATGTTACCAGCAGGGACAAAAAAAAAAAAAAGATATTATTCTGGGAAATGGAGAAGGTCAGATTCTCAGCAAGATGGATTGATGCAGTGACTGTTACAGTGGACTTGAGCATATCAAAGATCATGAGAACATCACAGCATAGGGCAGGGTTTAGATCTGTTATTCATAGGATGGCTATATACCATAATTGGCTCTATATCACCTAAGAACAACAATTTCTAGAAAAGTGCTTCACCCATTCCAGCTTCATTTATTAAAAAATCACTTCCCACTGATCTCAAGTACCATCTCGTTGTTCACCAAGGTTCTCTATACACACAAGTCTACTTCTCAGTTCTCAGTTCTATTCACTGGTCTGTTTGGCTATTCCTATGCATCTGATAGCTGAGCAATGAACAAGGATAACAGAAAAAGAATTGATGCCTCTGAATTTTGGTGCTGGACAAGAGTACTGAGTGTCCCTTGGAACAAGCCGATATCTCTTGGAGACAAACAGAAGCCGAAAGAACATGTCTTGGAGAAAGGCAAGGATGGTGAAGCTTTCTTTCATTCTTTAAAAGGCGTGTTTTTAACAGGGGCTGTTTATTTTTTGGAAAGGGGCATCAGCTTGGGAAAGTGGAGGGCCAGAGAAAGAGACGATGACTCTCAACATGATAGACTTGACATAGTGACTGCAGCAATGGACTCAAGTATGTCAGAGATGATAAAGATGGCACAGGATAGGACAGTTCAGGTCTGTTGATCATAGTCTTGCCATGAGACATACTCAAAGACACCTAACAGCAAAAACAAGCCAGGTCTCCTTAGTCTCACTCTTTAGGAATACACGTATCCACAAGGTGTTTGCCTTATAATCTCAGTTGTTGAAACATATACTGTTGTTGTTGATGTTAGGTGTCACAGAGTCAGTTCTGACTCATACTGACTTCATATAAAACAGAATGAAACGCAACACAGGCCTGACATTTCTTAGAGATTCTTTAAATACAAGCAGTCTCCAGGTTATGAATGAAATCCTTTCCTAAGTGTATCAGTTGAATTTATAGGTAAGTAAGAACAGATACATATGGTTCAGTGTGTATGGCGCATTTATAGCATACATGTTGCAGTAAATAAAAACTTACATCCTTTACCTTTTGAAAGAGTCATATAAATATTTTTCAGAAATATCTTCATAATTTTCTCTCTTCCATGTAAGTTTTAGAATTAGCACTGGCAAGTTCACAAAGAACCCTTTGGCTATTTTGATTATAACCCAATACATCTGTTTGGGGAGAATTACATCTTCATGATGTTGCCTTCCTATCCAGGCACAAAGTCTGTCTCCATTATACACATTTCCGTTAGTGTTTTTCAATAACATTTTCCAGTTTTGCTCACAAAAGGCCTGTATCTTTTCTCCTGTATTTATTTCTATAGCCTGTGCATTTCTTGTGTGTTGTTATTATGTGCCATCGAGTCACTTGACACTCATAGCAACTTGTGTACAACAGCCCTGAAACCTGCTCTATCCTGTGCCAACTTTACTATCTCCGACACCCCTTCCCTCATTACCCCAGTCACTATATCAATCCATCTCATCAGTGGTTTCCCTCTTTCTCCATCCCTCTATCCTCTCAAGGATTATGTCCCTCTCCAAGGACCAGTCCCTTCTAGCAACATGCCCACAGTATGTCAGATGAAGCCTCAGAATCCTTGCCTCCAAGGAAAACACTAATTCACCCTCTCCAGGACAAACCTGTTTGTTTTCCTGGAAGTTCATGGTATATTAAAAACTCTTCTCCAGCACCACAGCTCAAAGACATCAATTCTCCTTCTATCATCCCTAGTCATTGTCCAGCTCTCTGACGCATAGCAAGCAATTGCAAAGACTATAGCCTGGATCAAGTGCACCTTAGTCTCCAGAGTGATGTCATTGCTCTTCAGTACTTTGGCGAGGTCCCTCACAGCTGACTTTCCCAATGCAATTCTTTCTTTTGATTTCCTGGCTGCTGATATCACGTGTTGATTGTGGAGCAAAGCAAACTAAAGCTGTTAACAATCTCAATCTCTTCCCCATCCATCATGCTGGGTCTTATAGGTAGTATATAGAAATGCAATTAAATTTTTAATTATATTTTGAGTGAAAGTTTAAAAAATTGTTTTCCCATTCAGCCATTCATACTTTTGTTGTGTGATATTAATTATAATGCATGTGATATAACCATACTGTGCTCCCTTTTTCCTGCAGTTCCCATTTCCATTAATCTTCTAGCCTACCCTTTCCTGCCTTCTGAGTTTTATTTCTGAGCAAATGCACCTTTTTAATCCTAGGTGGTTGATTGTTCTAAGAGGTGAGTCCTTCCCGGGTGTTGTTTTCCTTATAGGCATGTCTGTTTGACTGTAAGTTGAGCCAAAGGGGAGAAATAAACCAGGGAAGGGGAATGAGTAGTATTGGAAATAGGAACAAGATTACACTTTAAGTAGAGTAGCTAGGAAAAGTGAGACTTGAGCAAAGAAGTGAGGGAAATGAGGTATAAAGCCACATTAGGAAAGAACATTCTTGGCAGAGGGAGTAGTACCTGTGAAGAACTGCCTGAGGTGGGGTTGTGCCTGCCATGTTTAAGAAACAACGGGAAGGCAGTGCGGCCAAAGCTAAGTAAGGAGAGAGGATATGAGGTCATAAAGGTAAAGGGTGGAGATGTTCAGACTAGACTTTAAAGGCCTTATGATTCATTTTTAGACTTAGTTTTTTCTCCTTGAAGAAAATGGAAGCTATTAGAAGATTTTAGGTGGAGAACTGATGTAACATGAGGAATCAAATATACTGTTGTTAATTGCAGTTCATAGTGGCTCCACAGGACAGTGTAGAACTGCCCCATAGGGTTTCCACGGCTGTATATTTTACGGAAGTAGATTGCCACCTCTTTCTCCTGATGAGTGGTTAGTGGATTTGAACTACTGACTTTTCCTTAGCAGCTAAATACTGAGCCACTGCACCACCAAGGATCATACAGCTTTGTTGTTGTTGTTTGCTGTCGAGTTTTTAGAGGCAGTTAATTGCACAGAAGGAGATTGCTTATCCTTCTCTGTGGAGCAGCTAGTGGATTAGAACCGTGTGCCTTCAGATTACAGCACAGCTTTTTGCCACTAGGCCACCACTGGTCCCCTCATACTGCTTTAAGAGACACATATTTTGGGGAGGAACTATTCAAAGAATAATGCACTTCCAATTTAGAAATCCTGTTCCCTTAGAGGCTTTCCTCCAAATCAGCACAGGCACCAAAATCCCTGCTTATTTCTGATGTAATTATGTCTTTCTTATTCTCCAAACCTCAGTCTCCCTGTTCCTTTTCTTCCTGTTTCTGGCACATGGGGATGCTCCTTTTTCCCCAGTTCAAGTATTCATGTGTTACAACATTTTGCTATGTTTCTTCAGCATTTTGAATCTGTGTGTAGAGGATGTTCAGGTTTATTGATAATATCATTTTGCTAAAGCCAAAGTTAAATTTATTTCCTAATTAAGGCCAGTTTTAATGTGTCTTCTGCAGGTGTGTCTGGTCCAGACTGTTTTTATAAATGCCCTACTCCCCAACCCTGTACTTCCAATGTCACCTTTTTTCCTGATGTATCTATATTCAACTGCAGTTTTCTAGCTACTGGTAACATTCTTATGGTTAGATAGATCTTGAAATATCTGTAATTTAATTTCCCTCCCACATTTCTGAAATGGACCACAAAATCAGTACCATTTTAAAGCATTAACAATAAACTGTTGTGTACTTGGGCAAAATGTCTCATCTTCATTACTCAGTGCTCTCAGGGATAAAAATACATCGATCCACACTCAGATTTGGTGGGAAGCCAAAACCCACATTTTCACAAAGGCTAGTGCTTCCCAAAACAAAGAATGACCTTCTCAGAAATGAGAGTGTATTAATTACCAGTTATTAATAACTTAGAGTTAGCCAGGTAGCATAAGAATTATCTGTTCTTTAAGATATTGATTAGACTTTGTAATTATTCAGTTACATTAGTCAGTGGTAATTAATGTAAAAATAATTTTATTTTTGTTGTTTATTACTTAATCTTGTGTGGAATTGTATTATAGATTTCCAAATATCTTTGCAAGCTTATACACAAAAATATTTTACTGCTGGTTTTTATTTTTGTTAGATATGTATCAGACTTTTAAGTTAAATTTTAAATTAATAATGTTATTTTGTTAAATAAGGAGCCCCTGGGTAGCACAAATAGTTAAAAACACTTGACTGTTAACTGAAAGGTAGGCAGAATAAGTCCATCTTGAGGTGCTTTAGAAAAAAGGCCTGGTGACAGAGGTTAAAAAAAAATTACAGTCGTTGAAAACTGCTATGACCTTTGCTCAGATTTTTGCTGATAATTTAGATTCAGTGGATTACACACACACACATAAAGATGGTAATCCAAAATCTTTAGATGTATAAACTTAGTTGTAATTACATAACAGTGAAAAGAAATAATTATCCCTCATGTGCTTGTCTATTATTATGTTACTCTAAGGTATATACCTTTTATAGAGAAACACACTGACTTCAGAATCAGCACCTTGAGGTACTAGGGTGGGTGCTGCTTACACCCCCCCCCCCCCCCCGGAGAAAAGCTGCTTCAGTTGGAAAACCTGGCCTCTGCAGGCAAAAAGGACAATAGACTTTAGGAGAAGGGACTGCAATAAAGTGAGAATCTCACTCCCAGCACATTGAGGAATGAGGGAGAGAAGGGCCTTCAAGCTCCCTGGAGAAAACGTGACTCCAGCAGAGGGGCCACAATCAAGTGACAGATTATGAAATGCAGCACATTGAGGTACAAGGGAGGGAACGGCCTGCAACCCTCCTGTAGAGAAATTGCTTTTGTTGGGGAATCTGACCATGCCACTCCTTAGACCAAAGAATATAATAGACTTTAGGCGAGGGGGCTGCAATAAGGAGAGATTAACACAAGGCTTCATTGTGGACCAGAGAGGACCTGAAGGAATTTAGGAAAGACAAACTTTCCTGCTCCATAGAGGACTTCCAGTAGAGTGAGTTGCCCAAAGACAGAACACTTTAAGCCTGCAACTAATCAGTAGCATCATATCACAAACATACACAGACACAACAGAAGCAGCCCAACACACCAAGAAAAACTTCACATAATGTTAAGAAAGTAGCTGACAGGCTCAAACATTGTGAAAAATCCAAACAAGCCTTCTCCTAAAAAAAGGAGAACATATTTTAGACCTAATAAATATTCCAGAGATAGTGTGAGACAGAAGAAATTGATATATTGATGTGAAGATACATGAACATGTACTGAAGAAGGTA